GTAACCATAAGGCAACATTTACTGTGAGCTTAACCCTGTTGGCACTGGACAGGCTGATCCCATTCAATTTTCACTACAACGCAATGAAATACTTGTTCCTAGTGACCATGACTATAAGATAAAGAAATTACAGCGTGGATGTTATGTGACTGGTTCAAGATTAACACATGTTGGAATTAAAGGAAGCCCAGGTGATATTATGAAGGTGATTTTGAGGGATTATAAGGTGAGATTGCCTGACTATGAGCGAATTCAGCAAATACAGGCTTTACAATTTTTTTTCTATTGCATGAAGATCAGAGACAGGTAAATCCTTATTTTGCACGAACTCTGCCTTGTTAAATGTTATCAGGTCGTTCAAATTTCTAGAGCACTTTTGGACTCCCATCTGCCAGCCATTTGGGCACTGTGACTTTATCCATACTTCCTATAAATATGGCTTCAGGACATCCAGTCAGGGTAGGATAATGGGGTGCTTCCTTCGCTCTCCCTGGATCTTTAGGTGATGCTGTCCCCAGCTACCATGTGATGCCTGCCTAGATGCAGATAAACCCACCTCCCTAGACCTGTCCCATTGCATAACAGTATGCATAACAGCTCACATTTACTGTGTTGTGCTACCATTATCTATCATCTCATGACGTCTTCACAGTTAATGTACAAGGTGGGTTAAGTTATACCTATATATTATATGTATAAAGCTAAGGCAGAGAAGGGCTGGAAAGATGGGTCAGATGGTCAAGTGTCTGCAGCTGAAGCAGGATGTACACTTCCATCTGCCCATCAAGCTCCTTTAACCTCAGAGCATGGAGAGCCAAGGAAGGCACATCAGAGCCGGCCAGCCTTGTGGAATCGGTGAGCTGCAGGTCGGAGAGAGAGCCTGTCTCAAAAAAAAAATAAGGTAAAGTCGGGCAGTGGTGGCTAACACCTTTAATCCCAGCACTCAGGAGGCAGAGGCAGGTGGGTCTCTGTGAGTTTGAGACCAGCCTGGTCTACAGAGTGAGTTCCAGGACAGGCTCCAAAGCTACACAAAGAAACTTTGTCTCAAAAAACTAACTAAATAATAAATAAATAAGATAGAGACCAGGGAAGACATTGGACATTGACGTGTGTGAACACACACGCATGTTTACAAATATATACATGTACCACACATACAAACAGAAAATATAGAAATTAAGGCACAGAAGGATTCAAAACCTGCTGGTATTGGCCCAGTATTCAAGCACAAGCGCCAAGTGTGTATGAGACCAAAGCTCATGCCTTTAATTGCATCAATTAGGATGACTGAGGTCAAATCTGAAGACCTTACTGCAAGTGGATGGAACAAACAAGACCTTTTTGGTACTCTATGAAGACCCAAGTTTGGGTGTGGAGGCCTAAGTTAGCAGCTCTGTAGTACTGCTGTCCCTTTCAACACTGTGTCACCGATAGCTCTCAAGTGTCAAGTCCTCAAACAGATGTTTCTCAGTTACACCCAGTAGCAAGAGTCACTTCTGGTATCTCTCTTTAAAGAGTTTATGTGTATGAGTGTTTCGCCTCCCTGCGGGACTGTACCATCTGCGTGCCTGGTGCCTGAGGTCAGAAGAGGATGTCTGACCCTTGGCAGTTACAATGACAGATGACTGTGAGCCTTCTCGTGGGTGCTGGGAAGCAAAACCCTGGTCTTCTGGAAGAGCAGCAAGTGCTCTCAACCAACCGAGCCATCTCTCCAGCCCCTCCAGTATCTCTCTTACTAGGCAGGCACACGCTTAACCATACACCATCTACTGACAAAGGGGAATATGTTCAGTATAACAGAGTATGATTCATTCCCTGAAGCTGGACGCGGCCTCCTCCACAGAGCAGATAGCAATGGCTGTTCGGACCCCTAGGAATGCATGCATCGTCTCTCAGGACCCAATACATTTTACCAAGGCCATAATAAATAACAACAGAATATTAGGACGGTGCTCCCAATATGTTGGAGGCAAGAATGAATGCCAGTTTTCAAACAGAAATGTGCCCCTTCCCAAGAGGTCTAGGTAATGTGTGTGCGGTGTCACTAGGAATCTCCATCACTACACAGCATGAGACGAACAAGGGAGCTTGCTAAATCTTCCTAAAGGGCTGGAATCAAACTACGTTATTATTGCAAACTTTCCCGTTATGGCTGGACCTAGTGGCCCTTGTCTACAAACATGAGGAAGGACATTTATCACACGAGACAATGACACATTGTCATTATTTCTGCAAAGCCCACAATTGTTAGGCTCCTGCTCAAGGGGTCAAAGCTGACCCTCTGCTTGTACAGTGGAGCTTGGCCTAGCTGGCCAGTTGGTGTTGTATTCTTTATGTATTAATTATAAAGAAAGCCTTTAGAGACCCATTGAAATGTTTTCATTTCATCATGTTTTCAAAAAAAATTATAAAATGCTTGATAAGATGGCCTTACTGAAAGATTTCGAGTATGGGGTTTAAGGGGGACACTGAGGCAGATTGTCCTTTTGGATAAGAAGGCTGTTAGAATAATGATTAACTTATCCCTCGCCCCTCCATGCCTGTGACAGACAAGGGAGCCAACCCTCCCCTCAGGGATCTCAAGGTTAACTAGGCGGATGATGATAGCTGACTGCAAATGGAAGTAACTTGAGCATGGCCTGGCAATCTGGGGTTCCCTTTTAAGATTTCTTATTTCCATTTCTGGATTTGTTTATGAGTCTATGTGCACCATATGCATACAGGTGCCCATGGAAGATAGAAGGCCTCTGATGGCTCTAGGCACACATGAAATGTACATAGATGCATGCAAGCAAAACACTCATACACACACAATAAGAAAATAAATCTTAACAATGTCCTTTCGGCCTAATACCCTTTCCCATGCTAATTGATAAGATTACATTCAGTGAAATAATAGGCTGGGAATGATGTCAAATGCTTTGAATTGTTCACATAAACAATACTAACTTGTTATTCTCCCTAAATTTCCCTAAACTGAGAACCTGCCTCATATTCTGAGGTGGGGGAGGGGGACAGGTCTTTGTCACCTTAAGAATTTGGCAAGCTTGTCTTTGTTTCTCCAGTTCACCTTCATTCCAATAGAGAACAACTTCATTCTGCTTAATTTGCAAGTGACTTCCCAGGTGTGCCAACATCTCACAGTAAAAAGTGCATTATGGAGGCTGAGAGAAAAAGAATTACAGTGACTGTGACTGAGAAAGTTACTAACTTACTGCTCTGTCTGGGAGTGGGAGGGGCCACCCCTGTGAAGTGAGACCTGGCCACACCCCCTCCCTGGAATGTACTTTGAACAGTTGCAATGGGCCAGACCAGACCCTGTGGTTTCTACCTTTGTCTGTTGTTTCCATGAAGGCTAAGGACAACAATAGAACTCAGGAGCCCAAACCCAAGAGTAAGCAGGTCGGACTCCACTACACAAACCAGCCAAAAACACCTGTCAAAACCAAGCACCCACTCTCTGGAAAAACAGCTGGCTGCTGCCATTTCCTGACAGCATTTGTACTGTGTCCAGCCAAAGAAATCTAAAGTCACTGCCCAAGGCCCTCCAGTTAAAAAGTCCCAGAATGTGGATGGGAATTATGAAAAGTGTGGTTAGCTGCCCTGCTACCTCTGCAGCCACATTTTTTGAGCTAAATTATTTCATTTACTCTGCAAAAATATAATAAAAGGGGCTACTAATCCCATTTTGCCACAAGAGTAGAGAATATAGAAATTCAGTTGTTTCATTCAGGTTGTAGAATTAATTTGGGCATAAAACCAATGTAAACATTATGAGGTGTGGCCAACATTGTGACAGGATGTTATCATCTGCAAAATTTACATTAGAGAACCATGCAATGAGTCCCCCCCCCAAAAAAAAAAAAAAGCCTCATAATTTTAAAAAATATGTGCATGTGTGTTTATGCATGCATGTTTGGGCATGTATACCATGTGCAGGTTCCTATAGAGACCAGAAGAAGGCATCAAAGCCTGTAGATGGAATTCCTTTTCTGCCTGGTCCTGCCACTCTTAGTCACAAATAAATACACAAAGGCTTATATTAATTATAAACTGTTTGGCCAATGGATCAGGTTTCTTATCCACTAGCTCTCTCTTAATTATTAACCCATTTCTAGTAAATCTAAGTATTTCCATGTGGTCTCGGCTTACCAGAGAATGCCCAGACCGATCACTCCTTTGGTGGCTCACCCTCTGCATCCTCTCCCCAGAATTCCCCTCCTCTGGTGGCCCTGCCTATACTTCCTGCCTAGCTACTGGCCAATCAGCATTTATTCACCAACCAATATAAAAGAACATCCCCCATCAAGAGCCCTTTGACCTGAAGGTACAGGCAGTTGAGAGATGTTTAGCATGGGTGCTGGGAACCTAATTCTGGTCCTCTGGAAGAGCAGCAAGTGCTCTTCGCTTTCAAGCTCCCTGTGGACTAAGAGCTACTGTTTCTTCTGGCAATAATAACCACACACTTCATCTTCCGTAGGGAGCATTCACAGCGCTATTACCTCACATTGAAATCAAGCGATTTCACACCTGTCCTCCTGCAGGGTGTGGACTGGATATCGCCGCTAGTCTATCAACTTCAAAGCCGTCTCACGTGCAACCCACTCAGTAAATGAAGGGCCTCTGCTGCCTTCAGCAAGGAGGAACCCTTGAGCAGCCTCAGAGAGAGAGAGAGAGAGAGAGAGAGAGAGAGAGAGAGAGAGAGAGAGAGAGAGAGAGAGAGGGCGTATGTGTGGTTTTGTGTGTCTGTAAGATAAGGAAACTCTTAGGTATTGAAGAAAAGGACTGAACAGCCTGTAGTATTTATCTTGTCTTCAGGGTTCCTCAGCCTAGTGCTCCTCAGTTTTAAAAACAAAACCATTACTTAATGAGTCTCAGATTTAAATAAAATGTAAATGGCCTGCCCGTTCCACTAAGTAACTATGAATGCTTTCCAGTAGTCTGGGTTTACAGTCTTCAAATTCTTTCTCTCTCTCATCAAGCAGAATGAATCTTCAATGTAGCATTGCACACAATGGAATGTTTATTAAATGGTGAAACAGAGCACAGATGAACGATCAAGTTGTCAATGCAATTTGTATGGCCTACGGCTTTTTATATAATTTTAAACATATAGAAAAAATACAAAAGTGGTACAAACCTATACCCAATTTGCTACTTATTAACATTTTTTTTTACCACTTCCACACCAGAGCCAATGGGATTAAACACAGCTCATACCTTCGGATTAGAAAGCTCATCAGAACCACAGTAAGCTCACGTGAAACCTTAGGGCCAAGACAGGTGAACAATTCTACCGTGTACTCAGAGACAACTTGTGAGCCTCCAGCCTCCCTCCTCTGCCCCCAGAGTGCTGGGATTACAGGAAGGCACAAACAGCCAGCTTAGAATGCTTTTTAAAGAGATCACTCTCATGGTCTTTTAAGAGCAAACCTATGAAATAAAAGGAATCCTACATTAAGATGGTGATTAAATGACAGCCATCAAACCCCTCCACTGTCAACCAACAGCAATCCATATGGCTGCCATCAAGCAATCTCTATTGTAGCATCTGAGCTCCCATTTCCTCTGACAATAATAAACACACTCTTTGTCTTCAGTGGGTAGGGTTCCACACCACTGTGAAAGGCCTGCATTACTTCAGAACCTCCACATTTAGTTCCACTCATGGCCGCCTTATCACAATCCAGCAGCTCCCCAAAACATCCTCACATTGGGTAACTCTTCTTTCTGGTTGCGCTTTAGCTGTGGAACAAAGTTCTAAAAAATGCAATCCTGGAAGATTCAAGAACACCCGGGGATGACCTTGTCTAAGAGCATCACCTGGGTGATCAGCCATTTTTGAAAGTACACTGTGCACACTGGAGGAGTGGACAGTCGGCGCACACCAGCTAGTTAGTTAGATGTGCTGTGGCGGCTTCTCTTCCCGTCAGGCTGCCTTTCTCTTGGGGCCTGCTTTAGAAAGGCTTCATTCCCAGTGTCGGCTGAGCTAGAACCCATGTCCCTTCAGTAGATGTCGGTCAGGGAGGTCACACTGAAAGCCTGCTGCAGCTCACGCTTGCTGGTGAGCTTCCAAGGATGAAACAGGACGGAATGCATCTTCTTAGTCATGAGGAAGCCATTATCACTAAATCTCCCCGGGATGCTTCCTACATCCAGCCAAACAAAGGGAGCGATGGCAGACGTTTTCAGATCAAAAACAAATAAATCACCCTTCTGAGAGATGTTGACCTGGAAAAAGAAAAGAGGCAAGGGGAATGAAGGACAAGAAAGAGCTGCAGTTTACATCCATGTCTGACAGACATTTATTTACGTGGGCCTAATGAAAACTGCACTTCCCAACCCCTTGGTCTGAACTACAAAGTCATCGATTCCGTGCAGTTATGACACTTGGCAATATCCGGAAAGTGATTTGAGTCTGTGGAAAATTACCAGATTGTCATCTCAAGCCAAGGAAACGCACAAATGCCAATAATTAAGGAAACTAGCTCTCGAGAAGCTGCAAGCTTTATGTCTTTAGGAACCTTCGTTAGAATATCACCAGGAAAGGGATGCTTGGCATTTTCATGGCTTACGTGACTTTCAAAGGACTAGAACTGAGCCTAACTGCAGAGCATAACCACAGAGCTTCTGGTCTCAGGTACGAAGCTATACCTTATGTTCCAAAGTCATGGCACCTCCTCTTCCAGTGAAGACCCCAATTCAGACGCTGGCAGGCATGTGGCTCACCTCAGCCAGGCCAGGAGGTACCAGGGAAGCCTTGGCTACTACTGCTGAAAGGCCAAGGCCAAAAGAGGCATTAGCACCTAGCTCTGTGTGATGCCTGCTTTGCAGAAAAAGCTTTGCAGAGCTGGGGTTTGAGCTTTAACTCTGGGTCCAGAGATACACACAATAAGCACCCAGACAATGACTGCTAATCAGTATTATCAGAAGAACAAGTCTCACTGATAAGCTAATGAAACAGAACAGGAAGCCCTGTCTTACCCCAATTATCATGAACTAACCAACACTTAGCTAAGCAAAAAGTAAACAAATAAATAATCTTTAAAAAGTAAATCCTTGGGGGGGGGGAATGTGCATGTGTGTATGTGTGTGCTTACACACACACACACACACACACACACACACACACACAACTAAGCACAGAGAGGCCACAGATCAGGGTCTAGTAACCTTCTAAATTGTTTATTCACTTTATTTTTTGAGATAGGGTGCAGTTGGAACTATTTTTCCGGACCGCCAGCTCAACATTAACGACATGGAGACTTACTATTAATTATAAAAGCTCAGCTGATAGCTTAGGCTTGTTACTAACCAGACTCTTACAACTTAAATTTAACCCATTTTCATCAATCTATTTTTTATCTTGTCGCTTTTTTACCTTTACTCTGTACTGCCCATGTGGCTTCCTCTTTGGCTGGTGGGCAATTCCACCCTTCTTTTTCCCAGCATCCTGTGTGCCTGAAAATCCTGCCTAGCTATTGGCTGTTCAGCTTTTTACTATGCCAATCAGAATGACACATCTTCACAGTGTACACAAAGATTATTCCACACAACAGGGGCTTTCACTGAGCTGGTTGCTCTCCAGTGTAGCTAAGCTGAGTGGCAAGCAAGCCCCAGGAACCCTCCCTGACTCTGCCTCCACAATGCTGGGGTTACAGGAACAAGCTGCCACCACTAGCTTTTCCTTGGTTTCTGGGGATCAAACTCAGCTCTTCGTGTTTGCTAGCACTTTAGCAACTGAGCCATCTCCCCAAGAACAAGAAACCAACTTGATTTCAAAGTCCCAAATTGGTAGATTGTGACTGTGTCCGTCATTTAGTTGTTTTTGCCGTGGCGGTGCATGAGTCGCTCTTCTGTTGCTGTGATAGAACACCATGCCCATGGTAACATACAGAAGAGTGGTAAGATCACACGATGGCAGAGCAGAGGCCTGGCAGCAAGCAGCAGGAGTAGCAGCAGGAACAGAAGGGGAGGGCTCACATCTTGAACCACAATCACAAAGCAGGAGAGAAAACTAGAACTGGCTTGAGGCTCTAAATTCTCAAAGCCCGCCCCCAATGACACTTCCTCCAAGAAGTTATGCACCTCTGAAACCTCACAAACAGTATCACTACCTGGGAACCAAAAGCTCAAATACTCAAGCTTTGGGGGAGGGGCGGCATTTTCTCATTAAAACACAAGTTGTTTCTTGCTTTGTTTTAAAACTTTTTAATGACATAAGCATATGTCAGCTTTCTTATCTCCGTTCTACCTCGGTGTTTCCAGAGGATGTAAACTTGGTCACATGTCTCTTTCACCATTAATTTGGGAAGAAGGTATGTTTTAACCTTTTTTGAAAGGAAATAAGTGTTTCATATTATCATTTCTAAAGCCAATTTTAAAATAAATCTCAATAGAGTAAACTGTGTAACAAATTTAAATTTGATATAGAGACTGAAACTTTCTGGAAAGATTTTTGTCAAGTATCACGTGAAGGGAGAAGAGGAAAGGTTTTCAATCAACTAAACAGGTGCCAAGTTTTCCAGCTGCAGCATTGTGAGAAAAGCATACTCTGATTATCCACCCCCCTTTTTATTTTCCCTTCCCCAATTATAAAGAGATTCGATGATTAAGTGACTTTGAAGCAGTAAATCAAAGGCGGTGGAGTGATTAATAAACTGTATTTAAAGAGTCAGAACTGGACTGACTCAAGCATCCCCCAGTGCTTCCTGGCCCACAGGGCATTGAGCTTGCTACCTAACCCTCTGTAGACTGCTTTCTCACTTGCAAAACAAGATCACAGCACTTCAGGGAAGCCATGGAAGCCAGAGCGTATGCAGTAGCAAGCATGCCTAGGGCACAGCCTGGAACCCAGTGGAGATGCAATCGGTATAAGTGGTCCATGCCACCTTTCGCTCCACCACACCAGCCACAGCAGGGAAAGTACAGGTGACAGAAACTGACTACAGACAAATTGCTTAGTCTTAGCATCCAGCAGGAGGAGAGGAACCATCCTCAGGCCTCAGGTTAAGAGCGTGAAGAGGGAAGCAGGAGATGTCGAAGACACAGCTTGCTAGCCCAAGAGAAGGAACACCCACAGGCCACTGGGACCCCAGGTCAGAGACACTTACAGTGATGTTGGCCTTGACCAGCCCTTTGGCATCCTTCAGGGAGGACAGGAAATGGTAGTTGGTTGGGCTGAAGAGGTCACTGTCGGTTGAAAGGTGGAAGGAAACCACACAGGTTTCCCTGGTACATCCCTTACATCTCTCCAGCAGCTTAGGCACTGGCTTCTTGTAGAGGATCGTAGCCTCCCCTGCTTTCAGCACAGCATGTGAAGTCACAAGAGAGCACACAGGCTTCAGTGAGCTCCAGGTGTAGACCCTCACCTGGGGAGAAAAGAGACAATGACATTCCTGCTTACAGCTTTTGTCTGGACAGCAGAACAGCAGAACCAACTGACTATGAACCCTGAGTTTTCATCCCAGCACCGTAAGTTCTAGCCATGTAACTAATTACTCAGCTTGCCAGGATCCATCTCTTCATGAGGAGAACTCCATTGAAAACTTTACTGCCTGTCATGAGACAGGTAACAACCCACCGTCAGCTCAGTACCTGGCACATTGCAGGCTTCCTACAGACAGGACCTATTTTTAGCACTAGTGGAATCATCTAATCTGTAGACTTTGAAATGGTTTCTAAATCTTTCTTTTTACTTAAACTTATGACAGTTTTTTTACATACCTATTCCAGATACTTTTACTGATTGCAGCCTTATCTACTTTTTAATTACTTTTTTGGTGAAATCTGGACTAGTACTAGCTTCTCACAGTTATATCTTACATTTACACAGCACTGTGAAGTTTACACAGTTCTTCATGTAATTCTTCTATTCACTTTCACCCGTAATACTAAAGGACACAGACTAGTTACAATCCGACAAAGGAAGGAACCAAATCCCCAAGAATATAACAGCTTTGCTCAGGTTATATAACACATAGCAGATGTTAGCCTGAACCCTGTATGTCTACACAGCCCAGCTTATGTTAAAAACTCTAGAAGCATTTTGGTATGTCCCCAAAATAGTATTCCAAACAATTAAAGAAGCCATCTAAAAGTTCCCCTCAACCTTAGATACACACACACACACAATCCAAGTAACTCACAGTGAGCCTCGTGTTGTAGTCTCGGTGAAGATCTGACACGCCATAGACATAAAACACACCTCTATCTTCAAAACCTACTGGTAACAGAGGAGCGAAGAATCTCCGAGCAAAGTAATGCAGCATTTTCCATTTTCCTCCATACTCTGAAAACAGCCAAGAGAATCAGGAGACACCAGGAATGGGCAGCCAGGCTAGGCCCATCTGAGCAGCGAACGTGGCTTGTCAGAAGTTTCCTAAGCACGTGTGTGAGGAGGTCTTGTATTAGGGGGAACTCAGGTGTGATAAGGGCCCTGAACATCAATTCTGAAGATTGTTTCATGTCAACCTCACAACATTAGATAAAGGCAGGTAGTAACTGCTATTTCCCAAGGGAAGAAAGAGGCAAGCACTTAATTAAAACATGCTGGGGACAGTATCTTGAGCCCAGATTTCACTCCAAGATAGCTCTTTCTCAGAGAGGACCTTGCTCCCAGAAGCTCAGTACATCAATGCTCTTTTGATTGATTGATTGTTTGTTTGTTTTAACACAAGGTCCAGGCTAGACTTAAAGCCCGGATCTTACGACGTTAGCCTCCTGCATGTTGGAATTACAAGAGTGCACCAATGTGCTGGCTACCAATATTCTTTTCTACTATGCACACATAAAGGAGGAAATCAGTGGCACAAGGAGAGGATGCTTGCTGTGAATTTTCATTCATAAGAAAGATCCAGACTTCGGTCTCCTTTCCCAAAGGCACAAAATCTCCTAAGCTAAGCGAAACTGCCACTACACAAAATGGCTTTCAGAGTCAGACTAAATACCTAAATCTGTGGCAATTAATAATACTTCCTCAAATACAATGTAAAATTGTCAAGACTTTGTAGCATTTCATGCCTTGTTCAGATGTCTGGTAGGCTATACCGCCTGTATTGATTATATTTGAATTGCTGTTAAAAATACCATGGCCAAAAGCAACTTACAAAAGAAAGCATTTCTTTTGGCTTAAGGTTCCCAAAAGAGAGTCTACAGTGCAGGGAAAGCATGGCAGAAGCCGACTGATCACATTTTAGCCACACACAGGAAGTGGGAAGAGGCTAAAAACCCTCTAAGACCCGCCTCCAGTGACATACTTCCTCTAACAACACTCCAGCTCCTAAAGGTTCCATCGTGTCCCCAACCAGCACTAAGTGTTTAAATACATGAGCCAAGGGGGACATTCTCATTCAAGCCAGTCCGGCTTCACCTTCAGTCTTTCAGGGTCTTCCTTTCTCATTATCTGCCGGAAATGAGATTCTCCCTAATAAAGAGCCTCTTCTGGAGCCGGAAGACAAAGAGAAGAAGGTGGGGAAAACCTCAAGGAAGTCGATGCATAAAGTAAATTGTAATTTTGCTAAAGTAGGGAGTGAACTTTTGAGGAAATATTGCCAGCTACTTACTGTCTGGAGGAGGAAGAAATGACATAAAGATTTTAATTAACTGAACAGATAACAATTTTTTCAGCATCCTGATCATCTTTTTTTTTTTTTTTTTTTTTTTTTTTTTTTTGTCAATTATAAAGCAATTTGGTGACTAAGCCACATTGAAGTAATAAATCAAAGACAGCGGAGTGATCAATAGGCTGTACTTAAAGAAACAAAACTTGTGTAGTTCAGTAAGTCTCCAATGCTTTCTGGACCACAGAACACTGAGCCTGCTGCCCAACCTCTGCAGGCTGCTTTCTTACTTGCAAAACCAGATCATAGGTCGTCAGGGATGTTGTGCAGTAGGGCTCCTAGGACATCGCCTGGAGAACAGTACCACACAGTTCTCTCCATGGGAAAGATAGCGAAGGGGAGGTGCTAACACAATTACGGTTCCAGCTATGGTGGTAGAAGAAAGATTAAAAAAAAAAAAAAAAACTATCTCTCAAGGTTTGCAAAATTTCAAGTCTTAACATTTCATTCCCAACGGTTCCTGTCTTCTCAAAACAGCACTTGCTGGGAGGAGGTATGGAGAAGCCAGCCCCATGGAGTTTCTTCTTGGGGAGTTTTCTGCTAGTGGGAGATGGCTTCTGGAGAAACTACAGTCTCATGTATGGCAACCACCAGGGTGGATACACTGCAAGATAACCACACCACTCTTTCACCTGATAGCATCCCGTTATTTCTTCTACTGGAGGTCAGAGGCCCATTATGACTCCTTTTTTAAAGGTACAAAAATAGATGAAACTGTTCAAACCGCAAATTCCGTTCCAGTCCTATCACCCATTGCTAGCTGAAATGTTCAGCTGGCAACCTTTCCAACTTGCATTTCTGACTCTACTATGTTTTTCCAAGACACAAAAAGAGCGTATAATGGGGATTTTATAGACTTACATTAGAGTCAGCGAATGGGACACTTTGACATATGTGTGAACCAATTACTTGGCAGAATTCCCCCACATGGAACAAGATCAATGCCCTTTGGGTCCTGAAAAACCTTCTTAAATAAATTCAAAATTCTATGCAGTAGGGACCGGGGGGATGGCTCAGTTGGTAAGTTGTTTGCCATGCAAGTTCAGATGCTCAGCACCCATGTTAAAACCAGGCACACCAGCATGCCCAGCACTGGGAAGGCAGAGACTGGGGTTCCTTGGGGCTTGCTGGCGGGTCAGCCTTGATGAATCCATGAGCTCAAGAGCTCCAGGTTCAGTGAAAAAAAAAAGTAAGGTAGAGGGAGATTGAGGAGAACAACTCATATCTATCTCTGGCCCATGTACACACACACATACATATGCACACACATATACACACACACAATACACACATACACATGTACACACTCATGCACATATACATGCACACACATACACACACTCACACATATACACACATACATACACACATACACACACACATACACACCCCTAAATACATACTACACACATACACACACACATGCACACTCACACACATGCACACACATGCACACACATACACACACATACACACACCCCCTAAATACACACATTCTATACGCACGCACACACATACCCCTAAATACACATATACACCACATACACACTCACACACACACACACATATACCCACACCCACACCCACACATACACACACACACACCACTCCACCCCACACCACACCTGGGTTCTCTACCTGAATGCACTTCTCACCAGCCTGCTCTGCCCAGTATAGCGGGCTCATGGGAAGGCTGTTAGGGGCAGCTGTGTGAAGACTTTACAGAGCAGCTTCAGGGAATAGCCTCTTTGGCCCAGTTCTCCTTGGGTAATCTGATTCTTCAAGCTCTGTGCCTTCCCAGTCCCTCTCCACACAGGCATCGATTTATCTCACACAAAGAAACACTTACCAAGAGAGGCCCAGGAAGGAGCCTGCCAGATGTCATTCAACTGCCAATAGAGTGCCCCCATGGTGCGGCCTTCTCCATTCACTACCTCGCTGCGGCTGCGCATGTAGAATTCAGTTTCTGATTTGACACACTGGGCCTGCATCACCTGATCCAGAAGATATTTACACATAGGTGTTATTGTTTGATGCTGGCTGCCTAGATTTCAGAAATTACAGGTTTCAGTTGGTTTTGTTTCTCTGCTTGCGTAGAGTAAATTGGATAAACTAGAGAATTGGACTAGCATTGCGGATACGACATTTTTATTAAATCCAGAACTAGTTCCTTGGCAGGAGGGAAACTGTCGTGTACAACAGAGGGTGGGGGCTTGGTTTCTGTTTGCTATAGCAGCAGGTGGCAAAGGAAATAGCAATCTATATAAGCCAATAATGATGTAAGCAGTGAACGAAAACAAAAGCTATTATTCCAGAGCACATGCCCCACGGAGTCAAACATCAGCTTGTATTGCAACAGCAGCTTTCACAAAGACATTCAGAGTTTTAAAAAACTTCTATTAGAAAAAAAAAAAACTGGAAGAAAAATATTGTTGTTATGAGTAAATTATCCAGCCTCTATTTCCACGCTAACTTTTCACATAGCAGTTTTTGATAATTAACCCACAATTTCTTAGGGCTGTCACTTCTTCGCTAGAGTAGGACAGATGGTATTACACCAACCAATGAAGAGCATCCAGTTCTTGCTTAAGAGGCATGGACAAAGTCCAGGCAGGTCCTCAATTCCTGCCACCATCTCTGGAAAATCGGCCCTTCTTACTGCTACTTTTACTGACGCTATACCTTGTGGTCTTAGCGTGGAGTTCTGGTTAGGAGGGCCTCGTGAATGGACCGAGAGTCTGGAAGGATGGTGAGAGTAACAAGATTTCAGAGACGAGGGAGGCCTTAGGACAGGGAGTGAGTCACCCCAGAAAGAGAAAAGGAAACATTCCTCCACACTAGGAACTAAGTGCAGATCACTTCTGTAAACAACAAATCTCAGCTGAAGGACACATGAGCTCTGAGACAGTAGGAGGCTGAAAGGGGAGGAAGGGGCATGAGTCAGACATATGTCTCCGGAAGTGTGAAGTCACCGTCACCCAACAAATAGTGAGTATCGACAGCACACATTATGTGTCCATGAAGTTAGACCTCTTGTCCAAGCGAAAAGGAGGATATATCCTACCATCATGGCATTTACTGCCTTGTAGAGAACACAGGCCAATGCAAAGTTGCTGTGTGACAGCAAAGGGCTTAGTAGAAAAGTAAGGACTGTCCTAGAATAGAGCAGAGCCTTCCAGCCAGAGAGAGAACAATGTCTGTGAGGTGCTGTGTGTGTGCGCGTGTGTGTGTGTGTGTGTGTGTGTGTGTGTGTGTGTGTGTGTGTGCGCGCGCGCGCACGCGTGGTAGGAATTCATATCTACAGAGAAGCCATGAGAAGCATGGCAAAACCTTGCTGTATCCTGAGAGCAGCTGAAGTCCTGGGAAGCTATAAGGAGAAAGGGTGACTCAGCCAGCTTGCATTTCCAAAACATCACTAGGATTTCTGAGCAGAGAAGAGAATAGGCAGGCTAGAAGGACCTAGGGAGACATCCACAGAGTTCAGCTTCTACTGAAGAATGCCATTTGTTGAGCTGATTAAGACACAGCCATTTGATTCTGGGCCAGCTTGCTGGGAACCACAGCAATGACAGCCAGAAAGTGTGCCATAGGACAGTTAAAAAAAATAATTCTCTGCAGCAGCAGTACTGGTGACAGCTCAGGCCAATGTACTTGGAGTGTGTTGGTCTAAACATGTCTCAGAGGGGATGAAATAAAATAATAGACCAAAGACTTTTTCTGTCAGTCAAGGTAATCTGCAATTCGACTCAGGATCTCTGGCCAAATTCCTAACCAAAAAAAAAAAAAATCTTGTCTGAACTAAACAGAGTAGGATTTATCTTTGGGACCTACGCACTGAGAATCTGGGTCACCAGAGTATGCATTTGCATGTGTATTGAGTTACTGTACCAAATCAACTTAGTAAAGCAATTTCTAGAATGTTCTGTGAATAGAAGCAGCCAAGAAGTGAAATCTTATGCAGGACAGTGGTGACACACACCTTTAATTCCAGCACTCGGAAGCAGAGACAGGCAGATCTCTGAGTTTGAGGCTAGCCTGGTCTACTGACAGAGTTCCAAAGCCACAAAGAACCCCTGTCTCAAAAAACAAACAAACAAGTGAAATCTAAGATGAGGGTAGATGTGTCGGGTCTGAAGTCTGCACTAAATATCCTTCTATGCCCAATAAGTGTTTTAAGCTCAGGGGAGGTGGCTCAGTGGACAATGCACTTGCTGTGCAAGTTCTGATCCCTCGTGTCCAGGAAAATTCGGGAAGGAGTGCCAGTGCTGGGGATCAGAAACAGGGGATCCCCAAAGCAAGCCGAGATTGGCAAGCTCCAGGTTCAGCAAGAGACCTGCCTCAATAAAGTGGACAGCAATGGAGGGGAAACACCCAGTGTCAGCTTGAGTTACACACACATGCACCCACATACACATGAACACACATACATACATGCCTACCATACATACATGAACATGCAAAAACAAAAAGATTTAACCTTTCATCAGCATGGAAAGCAACCCACTCGGTTACAAGATTTCCTAATAATATCTAAATCTATTTTAATCACGGAACTTCCAAATAATGCTTTTACAGTGGAGTGTGGGGACAGTATCATGTAATGCACCTGCCAGGGTAGCTCACACATCCAACGCTCTGACTGACCAGAACTCTCTTCTCACCCCGAGACTCATGAATCCCTTGCTGCTTCAAGGACTATGTATGAAGGCTTCACCAGTGTACAGGAACCCTCCATTCTGCTACTGAGAAACAGCTCAAGATTCCAGAACACCCAGGACCTGAAGTATCCCCACGGGCTGGAGCAGGGGACACTCTGAGAATAGCCCTAAGGCCAGGATCAGTCTTGATTCAGGAGTTACAGTGTGGAATAAGTGGGCCATTCAAGGCATCTGGGCTAGATTGGGATTATAAATAAGGTGTTAAGAGAAAAGCAGACACCAGGACAATGCATAATACAAGGGATTGGCACATGCCGAGGTAAGTAAAGAAACCACCCTTTTCAGGCAGAGATAAAACTTTCAGGACAAAGCTATACAATAAAAAGAGTGGCTCGTGCTTGATTGACTCTAAAACTAGATTTTCTTCCTATGGCTTTGATGAAAACAGCATGTCTTTTTATTCATGATAAATTCGATTTATTTTCGGGGAGAAGAAAAAAAATCTAACGAGGTTCAAATTATTCACCTGGCTCTAAACTCTTCTGCAATCTTATTAACATATGTTATAATTCAAAAATCTTTGTTTTTAATTTGTATTAGATTTACTCTATTTTATGTGTGAGTGCTTTGCCTGCATGTATGCACACACACAGCCTACAAGTTTGGTGCCTGTAGGGGTCAGAAGACGTTACCAGATCTCCTGGCAGTGGAGTTACAGATGGTTGTAAACCACCATGTGGGTGCTGAAGATCAAACCCAGTTCCTCTGAGAGAGCAAGAAGCGCTCTCAACTGCTGAGCCGTCTCTCCACCCCCTGGTTAGTAGATCTCTTGCTATCTGAAAGGAAATGGCACCAGTTCTCCATCTAGGAGCTCACCATTCATGAAATCTGCATAGAAGGGGATAACCAGGGCTCTTGAGCACTTCAGCTCTAGCATAGGGTAGCACATTCCTAATGCAGATAGTGCCAAGCCAATAACATGAATCCGACTTTACCCAAGCCAGTTTTCACGGGTCAAGAATAATGCTTAAGAGTTATCGTGTGCTTTCGATAAATACCTTAAGTGTTTAAAGGTTTGGCCCCCAACTTGATACTAGACAGCTGTTAGAAATTTTAAGACAAGGACTATAGAGGTCTTAGTACATTGGAGGGTATTCCCTCAAGGAGGACATTGGAACCCCTACCTTTCCCTTCCTGGTCTTGAGGTAGGCACTTTAGTTTAGTGAGTTCCTGCTGTGATGGGCTTATACTGTGGTATCCCAACGCGACAGGCTCAGCCAGTCATAGACTAAAACCTTCAATACTTCCAAGCAAAAAAACTTTTCTCTTCCTAAGGTTTTTATCCTAGGTATTTGCTGGTGATGAAAGAGTAATACAATAAAAGAAAAAAAAAAAAAAAAAGGCACAAAGAAGCATGTAGTCATTGCTATAACAGAGATGTAAAGGGAAAACCACTGAACTTGGTTGCAGAGTTTGAGAACATTTGTGGGAATAGGGTGTGTGTGTGGGGGGGGGGGGGGGGCTCGTAAACAGTAAGCAGAGTTTAATGGGAAATTCTGGTAGGGCCTCAGAACTCAAAATGCTGATAGGAACATGGAAAGTAAAGGTCAGACTGATGAGGTTCGGCAGGAAGCGAGAGTTCTGCAGTGCTATGGCAAAGAATCTGAATGCACACTGTCCATACCTGAAACTCGGTGGGGAACAGGTTAGCCTGTCTAGCAGAGGGAACTCTAGGCAGCACACTGTTTAGACAGTGACAAGAGCATTGCTCAAATCTTAGGCCAGGTTTACAGAGACAGAACACGGAGGAGCAGAGAAGTAAGGTTTTAAAATGACTGAAACGTGACCAGAAAAGAAACACGCATAATCTTTCAAAGATGTACAGGAGTAGAAAGTAAACCAAGTTCACTCTACTGGAACAGTATGGAAGAGGTTCCACTGTTCAATGCAGGTTCAATGACAGAGAAATACAAATTTCGTTCAAAGACTTTGAAGGGAAGAATCTTCTGAGAAGGGACTGGCGGGATGCTCTGCTTCCCCATGGCTGCCTAGGGCAGCAGGGCATTCAGAAACCGCTGCACCTGGGACACCAGTGGTCCAAGAATAACTCGTGCCAGCAGCAGAATTTGACATCTCGAATGTGATGCTGGTTTGGCAGGCAGGCAGGCAACATAACAAGCGTTACAGGGTCATAGAGGCTGTTAGTGAAGGTCTCAAAGAAAGCCTAGGGGAGACCAGATGGTGTGGTGGAGGGCCAGAGTCTCTGAAAGCGGTCACACATGGAACTGTGAGTGTGATGCTGAAGCTACCGTGGAGACCCTGGAAATTAGAATCAGCCAGGCTCTAGGGAAGGTGGTACCCAGGCTCTAGGGAAAGTGGTACCAGGCTGTAGGGAAGGTGATACCCAGGCTCTAGGGAAGATGATACCCAGGCTCTAGGGAAGATGATACCCAGGCTCTAGGGAAGGTGGTTCTCAGAGTCTTAGTAGCACACATCCAAGCAGAGGGCCTGGAAGCCCTGTTGGATGTACATCTTCTTCTCCAGCTTTGCATCTTTGGTTTAAGCCTTTGATCCATTTTGGTTAATCTTATGTGGTGTGAAGTAGGAGTCCACATTTACTCTTTTACATCTGAATATCTACCTGTTCCAGAACCATCCTCTGGAAATTCTATCCTTCCCACTACTTTATTGTCTTGCAAATAGAAACTAGAACACACTATAGAGGGTCCTTCACTACAGTTTAACAAATATACTAGTAGGTTTAGATTCCAAAGAAATACTAGTTTATCAAAAAATACCTACCCTTCTGGGATGGTGGTGATGCATGTCTTTAATCCCAGCACTTAGGAGGCAGAGGCAGGTGGACCACTGTGAATTCAAGACCAGCCTGGTCTACAGGGTGAGTTCCAAGACAAGTTCCAAACCAAAACAAAAAACAAACAAAACAATACAAAATCAAGAGGCAGAGAGTGACAAATACTTGTGCTAGCCTCACTCTCTCCATTTAGACAGCCTAGGATTCCAGCCCAGAAACCCACAAGATGTGGCTTCCCACCTCCAAGAGCCCAGTCAAGATAATTCCCCACGAGAGTGCCCAGAGGACCAAATCTCAGATGATTCTGGATCTCAAAAAATTCACAGTTGAGATTAATGATCACAGTGTGCGCACGCGCACACACACACACACAATGTTATTTTCTAGAAACATATACAATTTTATGTCAATTGGAAACAAACAAAAACTTAATTTAAAAAATTCAATTAACCAAGACAGCACATTTATTTCTAGGCTTCTGGTCTATTGAATGAATGTGTACCACACTCACTTGATTCAGTAGCTTTTCAGTGCGTTTTAATATTGGAAGTATAAGCTCTCTGACTCTCTTCTGTGTTGACTATTCTGAGTATCTTGTATTTCTAGAATCTGCTTGCCCATTTCTCCAAAAGAAAAAGAAGTAATAGAAATACTGACAGACATTGAATTAGTAGATCCACTCAGAGAGTACTGTCATTTTAACAACTAAGCCTTCTAGTTTATGGACACTAGGAGTTGTTTTAATTATGTAATTCCTTTTGACAATTTTTTTGGAGTTTTCAATGTGTAATTCTTGTGTCTCTTTGTTTAACTATATTCCTAAGTATTGCGGTTAAATAAGGATCAAGATAAACAAATAGGCCGAATAGATGTTTATTCAGGGAGAAATAACTTACAACCTAGACAGATGAACACCAGGAAATTCCACCTGATGCTCTCCTGTCCGAGTCCCGCCAGCAAGAGAGCTTTTCCTGGCTCTTCCTCCGACCTCCTTCCACAGGTCACTTCCGCCCATGGCTCTACCCCCAATGGGTGTAGTCAGTGCCAGAGAAGGACTATCTCACTACAATTCCCCTTTTAGTCTAAAGAAAAGATTTAGGCTTAATACAAAACTATATACAAAACAGTGAATAACAAGTGTGCTCTAAGAAAAGGAAAATCGAGAACAAAATGACCTACATATATAGTCCTAGGGTGAAGGCATAACGGAGTTTACAATAGAGTTGTCCTAAGCTGGAAAACGTAAGTCTAGTAACTAATATATCTAACTAGGAAGAGAGAATAATAGTTGTGATAGTTTAATCTTTAACCTCATCAAGACCTGAGAAGGAAAATAACGATACTAGAGTAGACAGGAAGTGCGGATGGACATCTTCCAAAAGGTACAGCAAGGACAGAAACAGCAAGCCACCTGAACAGTCACCCTAGGTCTCACACCAACGTTGGTACACCCAGTTTTGGCTAAGGCCAAGAGAACTTGACAGACCGTAACAACAGCAGGGACTGTTGTCTTACCCTGACTTGGCCCGCGACACACCTAAGTACAGATAGAACCCAGATAACAATGGTTTGTTATCTTTAATTTTGTAATGATGAAAATTGATGTGCACTCAGTAGAAACTGAACCTCCAATTTTGAATTTTTATTTTTTATTCCTTCTGATGCTAACGCTATGTGGTACACTAATGTCTTCCTATAAAGCTACAAACACATGTGGTCAGAAGAGTAACAGATGATTGATGTGTTGCAACATATTGCTGTGTTGCTAGGCTACCGTGCTTGATAGGTTAGGTGTTATCCTAATTGTCAACATGACACAGTATAGACTCATCCGAGAAGAAAGCCTTGATTGAGAAAGGTGGAGATAGGAGGGCAAAGAAAAGGTAGCAGATTAATTTCGCTGAGATCCCATCTAATTTAGAATTAGGAAGCATGAAGGCAAGGCGTGAAGCTGAGTGAGAAGAAGTCCAATTCCAAGCCAAGACTTAGCTGGCTACTAATGTCAATCTCACTAAAACCCATGAGCAGACAATTGCCTCAATTAGTCTTCCCTACACTTAGATTTCAATATAAACTATTTCTGTTTGCTTTGCAACACACTCTGTGTGAGAGTTGCATAAGTTGATAACACAGTGAGTGTGTATACTTCTGTATTGCAGTGGACTGTTTCATCATGGGAACAAATCACACTGCACATAGTTTTCCTACTAAAGGACACTCATGTTGTTTCTAGCTGGAGGCTGTTATAAGCAACGCTACTATGAACAGTGTTTTAGATGACTATTGGTAGACAAATGTACTTGCTTGGGTATGTAGCTAACTTATAAGGGAACCAAGTATTCAGCTTTGACAGGAACTGCCAGAAAATTTCCCAAAGTAGTTAAACAAAGGGACACTTTGTGTAACAGTGTTTTACAGTTCCAGCTGGCTTACCTTACTCTAGCAGCTGCTAGTGTCAGTCCTCAATTGGAGGAATTCTGGTGGGTATGCATCTTAAATGGCTTTAATTTTCATTTGCTTGAGTAAAAATGAGATAAAGAGCTGGAGAGACGGTTCAGTGGCTAAGAGCACTGACTGCTCTTCTAGAGGAACCACATTTGATTTTCCAGCTCCCTCCTATCTCTACTTTTCTCCCTACACCCGCCCCCCCCTTCTCTCCCTGTTCCTGAGAGCCCTCACCCCAGCAAGGTGATCATCACCAGGCTAAAACCAAACAAAAATTGAAATAAATAATAACAATTATAAATCCTGGAACTGAAAGCCAAGGCTTGCCAGGTAAGAAAGGAACCAGACAAATACAAGGAGGCACCAATTAGGCAGATTGAGCAATATGATAAACAATTTTCATTAAAACTTGTTTAAATGATAGGAAGGAAGGGAGGAGGGAAGGAAGAAAAATAGATTAAATTCTTTCCCTGGTCCATCCTCTCTACTCTCCCTCCCAGTGTTTGTTATTAGTTACCCATAAGGTCCAGAAGAACAGGACAGGTGCCAAGTCACTTTTCAAGACAGTATTAGTTGACTAAATGTTGTAGCTCTCCAAAGAGTTTGAACTGAGAAGGCTTGGCAGCAAGCTTCTTCATAAACATGGAGCGCCTTCCCTGGCTTTGTCATCTAGTCACAAGTCCCTGGGCCTCTTCAGCTCTCCCCATATTCCAACGTCCCCTCTCCTTCTCCCTTCTTCTCTGGTTATATATAACTGTCCCACATGGCCACACACCCAGTCATGCTTTCTTAATCTATGACTCACAGCTACCACTTTTGAAGCGTGACTAACTAACCGCATGGCATGTCCCAGCAGGTCCTCTCACTACCACCTACACTAGGAGGCGAAGTCAGTCTTCAGTGACCCTTAGCTTACAGCGCCCCCTACTGCTTCCATTTGTCCCTAGCAAATTTGTTCGGGCACCTGTTAACTTCCTGTGCCACAGATAACTGGGGTGGCAAAACTCAGGGAGACAGAACAATGTTGTACTGTGGGTCCACGTGTGAATTAGATGTGACTAATGTGGTAAGCAACAGACACGATAAAAGACCCAGGCCAGATCAACTACACATAAATGAATTGTAGCGACTCAGTCTAGCTTTTCCCCTTTCTTAGTATACTTGGGGGAAAAAAAAGTATTCAAAGGCCAGTAATTTTAGTGAAATATAATTTATCAACATTTTCTTCCGTGGTTAGTGTTTTTAAGCTTTAAGAACTCTCTGTCTGTCTCAAAGTCATGAAGATATTGTCTTGTGTTCTCTCCAAGGAGTTTATGTACTGCTCCCAAATTTTAGGTCATTTTCTTCCATCTCAGGGATCAAACCCAAGGCCTGGAGAATGTAAGCATGGCTCTGTTCCAAACCCTCACATTTGAATCTCAGGTCCGTGGTGAAATTAGTGTGTACACATGGAGGACTTTCATTTTCCTGTAAAGCTACCCACTTAATGCACCGAACTTCACTGATAACTCCATCTTTCCCCACACAAATTACAGGGCTGCACAGTAAGAAGGCAGGCAACTAGATCATGTATGAGTCCATCTCTGTCCTTCCAGGGAAATTCTACTACTGCCTTCATTGCTTAAACCAGCAAACACTTTAATGCACAATTTGTTTTAGAATTTCATAAGCTATTCTTGTAGGAGAAACAAAGCCAAAAAATGAAATGCATCGTTAGGGTTTATCATAACTGAATTGTGAAGAAAACAAAAGCCTTCATCAGGAGACTGCAGACCATACAAAGCCTACAAAATCTGCATGAGTGCATATGTGCCGAGTGGAAGCCTGTCAACTCCGCGCAGAAAATGGCTTACCTGAGTAAGGTAGATAGTATCTTTAAATTTGCGTAAGGGGTCTGTCCTTTGGGGCAATGTGAAATGAAGCTGAGCCTGCTGAAGCATTTCATCGTTACCATCTCCATGATGCTGTCGGTGAAGGGAAAAGTGGCTACTGTAAGACCAGTCCTCTTTAGATGAAACCTTTCAAAAATAAATAAGAGTTACCGATCTTAGCGGTGAAACTACTTTCCTTCTACATTCCTCACAAACCTGGGAAGTGCTCTACACATTGAAAAAGAGCTAAAGTTTGTTCTATGGCATTAATTTCATACATTAAAAGAATCATTCTCCTTATTACTAATAAAGGACTAGCAAGACAAAATTCATGTTGGTAACAGTGGTCTGCTTTCACATCTAGAAGATTACATTTTAGGATTTCTCTTAAAAGCCTTACCTAGCAAAACATGTATTGCCTGTATCTTCTTTCTGAGATAGGAACCGTGTATAGCTCCCACACCCTCTAACGTGTTAGCACTGTGCTGAACTTCTGGACTTCCTGCCTCCCAAGTGCCAGCAAACTGATTTCACTGTTTGTACCGTGTTTCCTTTATTTAGGTAAATTCTGTTATCAGGTTTTTAGAATTGAATAATGGGCTACAATTGATATTCTGTATTAAATGTCGTAGTTTTAAATAAGAATCAAATAATGCTATTACAATAGTAAATGCTTCAGAATTTATTCATATTCCTTATCCGAGAACTGTCTAGGCCAGCAGTTCTCAACCTTTTCACAGGAGCTGACAAAGGCCATTGGAAAACACAGATGTTTACGATTCACAGCAGTAGCAAAATTACAGCTATGAAGTAGCAATGAAAATAATTTTATGGCTGGGTGTCACCACAACATGAGGAACTGTACTAAAGGGTCGCAGCCTTAGGAGGGTTGAAAACCACTGGCCTAGACTATAGAATGAGTTCCAGGGCCAGCTTGGACAACTAGCAAAATCCTGCCTAAAAAAAAAAAAATAAGTAAAAATGAGGATCTGAATATGCATCTCTCAATGGATGTTATACAAATGGCAATAAGCACCTGAAGAAATATTCATAATAACCAGTCATCAAAGAAATGCAAATTTTATATAAAACTCTATTTCCACAAAAATGCTTTTTAAAATGAAAAAAAAAAAGTGTTGGAAAGGGCGCAGAAAAGGCTGGGAGGGAAGGGAATGAGTACAGTCACTACAGAAGGCAATGCTGAGCATTAGAAGACTCACTTAATGATTCAGCAGCTGCACTTACAGGCTCACACCCAGTAGGTCTGAAAATGCTCATTCAAAAACAGGCACACTGATGCTCACAACAGCTTTCCAAGAGCTGGAAATTGCATAACTGCCCATCAACAGACCAAATGGATCAACAAATGTGGAAATTACATCCAATAGAACATAATCAGCAATAAAGAGTAATGACCTTCTAATGCAACATTAAGTTACTCCAGTCTCATAACACCCACCCAAATGTATTATTCTAATCACGTTAAGTTGTGAAGAATACATAAACCTATAGACACAGACAGAGTAGTAGTGCTTAGGGCTGGAGGGAGGGTCAGAAGAGTGGAAAATGACTTCTAAGGGGATCCTGGAACTTGCTCTGTAGACCAGGCTGGCCACAAACTCAAGATCTACCTGCCTCTGCCTCTGCCTCTGCCTCTGCCTCCCAAGTGCTGAAATTAAAGGTGTGTGCCACTGAGTGATGGAAATGTTCCAAAATCAGCCTGAGGGGATGGTTGTACAAGTCTACAAGTACAGTAGGGACTGACTAAGATGTGCACATTAAATGAGTAGTTTCTTTACTAAGAGAATTGAATCTCGATAAAGGTGTTTTAAGAGAACACACACAAGTCTAAAATTAAATCCTTGGGTACAGAGTCTATATCCACCCTATAAACCACATATACCAACATGAAGAAAAAGCAGGAAGAGATATAGAAGATAGACATGAAGGAGGAGGCAGAAGGAGAAAATAAAACCAGGTAACACAGACCAGGACTTACCTTTTCTCTTCTAACGTGGTTGGGTAGCTAGTTCTGAATAGCTATAAATAATTACACTGTATATAAAGTATCAACTCAGGGTCAGCAGGATGGCCCAGGGGGAAAAGGTACTTGCTATCCAGCCTGACAGTTGGATCCCCAGACCTCCTATGGCAAGAGAGAACCAACTCCTACAAGTTGTCCTCTGACCACCACACACATGGCAAGAGTAAACACCCAAATAAATAAACCAATAAATAATAAATGTTTTTTAATCAACTAGAGTTGTTTCCGTGCACAATTACAAGTCAAGCTTAAGAGTCGGTGTGCTGCCATTTAACTTGCAAGTGTTCACGAAGGCACACAATTAAAAAAAATACTGGAAAGTTACCCCATCAAAATGGCAACTATAAGAGTCTAGCTCTCCAGATGTTAAAGAAGAGCTCTTTTCCGCCAACCTCTTCCTGAACTGTCAATTAAGTAAAAAGTAGCTCTTATCTGAACCCACTGTCTACTGCTATAAATCATGGGAAAACTGAGAGGCCAGTGGCTTACCTTTTCTAGTGTGCTAAAGGAAGGCCAGGACTGGTAGCCATATTCGGATACTAATCGAGCTTTGGGGAAGACCTTCCAATCCCAGCAGTCACTCAAATAGTCATAAAAATGGACGTCTCCATAAAGGTTGCTGTAAGGGTCTTTAGAGACCCAGCCTTCTGCCATGGTTTTGACCCCATTGGTAGGGCTGGATGCAATAAAAGGGCGGCTCTTGTCTTCCTGGACATAGAAATAAAATGATTTTAAGGGTACTCTGTTGGTCGCCACTCTCCCTGTCAACACTGTCCTGCTCATCTTTGCTATCGTTGTCCCATTACAAGTGCCCAAGATCATGCCTTGCAATGTTTCCAGCCATGTTTTGCCTCCTTTCTTACCCCAGAGACGGTGTATCATCTCATGAAGTTTCTCAACTTTGGTACAATTGACCTTTGGGTTAAAATTGGATATGGACATGAGTGGTCCAGGTCTCTTGTCATGAGAAACATTTCACAACATCTCTAGCTTACAACACCTGCCAGGTGGCATGAATCCCTTCTGTCAGTATGCAGGCATCTGTACTGGTCTGTCCTTGGGGTCTTGACAGGATACGCACACAGCTAAAGCCACTAAGAGCACCACCTGTGCACATTCACTACGTTCACTTTTAAAAGGGCCCTGCCCGCCTCCCATCCTCCTCCTCTCTTTCTTTCTCTCCCTCTCTCTGTCTGTCTGTCTTTCACTCTCTTTTCCTCTCTCTCCCTCTCTTTCCTCTCTCCTGCTGCTCCTGTCCCTGGAGGAGGCCAGTCTCCCCTATGCCCTTTCCCCTTTCAATGATCCCTTTCCCTAATAATAATAACGAAAACCCTCTGCTTGAACCCTGTTGCATGGTGTCTTTCTCTCCAGCTGCTTTTCTTAGTGTCCCCAGCTCTGACCAGTTTTCTCTAGGGTCAAAATTGCTGCATTTCAGGAACTCTGGGTTAAGAACAAAAGCTATTGAGTCAGATACACTTTGGTTTAAAATTCAACTCAGCAGCTTCCTGGTTTGGGGCAGGTCTTAACCTTGTGAGTTTGATCTGTAAACTGAAGGAAATTCAAGATCATGATCGTAGATGCTCACTTAGAGCAAGATGAACCACTAGGAATTAATCATAACATGTATATCTTGTTGGCAACAACAATTATTATTAGATAGCATTTAAGGAAATCTGTAAACATCATCATCATCTGTGAAGTTTGAGACAAAGAATCCTAAGAGTTCCTAAGAGTTAGTCCTTTTTCTAACTCAACTTTATAACTGGAAAAGTAGACATTAAGCAAGTTACAAAATTGTGACCTGTGGGCACTTCATCACTATACTGTACTGTTAAATACAGATCCTTAGACATCACAGTCAATTTCTTGCATTGATCAGATAATAAATAAATATTCTTAATTGATGAGCCATTTCTCTAGTACCCACAGGGTGGCCCACAACCAGCTATAATTCTAGTTCCACCTGATCCAATGCCTTCCACAGACACTGAACATGTATGTGGCACACACATATACATGCAAGCAAACACTCATAAAATAAAAATAAATTGTTTAGATATACACACATAAAATCATTGACTAGGCATATGTAGATGTTACCTACCACATACTGCTTTGTTTGTAAAAATATATTCCTTTTTCAAATTGCTTCAGAAGATACCAAAGAATGATTACAGACAAAATGGTAAAGATGGCCAAATTATTAAATTGCTTAGTAAACATTAGAGTTTTTAAACAATCTTTAGAAATGGCCACTGAAAATAATACTACCTTCCTGTCGCCACACACACACACACACACACACACACACACACACACACAAAGGCCAATGCATCATTAACACGTACTGTTCAACATGTCTAGTTCATAATAGTGATACAAAGAGAACCACCATAGAAAAAGATCCCAAGATCCCTGGGCAACCAGAACTACTTTATTCCCATGACCCTCACACCATAGACCGAGATGTTCACATATGATACACACCAACCTGTACCAGTAAGTACTGAGTATGTGTGGAGAATCCCAAAGATAGTTTATATTCCAAGAAACCCACATACAGCCCATGGACAGGTTCCTATGCTAGAGCATTGTCGCGAAATGCTCTGACTTCAGGTGACGCTCTAAAGACTGACTTCAAAGAGTCATACAATCTACTACACCAATATTGAGGCCTATGCATTTTAAAAACACACTGTTAAATTCTACCGCACCCAAACCACTACTTACTTGTAAGACAATCTCTCTGATGTTGCTCACGTACAGGGTTACATAGTCGTCAATGTAGGTTTTCAAGTCGCTGGGATTTATATGAAACCAGTCCACACTTAGGGCCACTTCATTCTCATTATTACCACTCCATATAATGATGGAGGGGTGAGATTTGAGCCTCCTAATCTGGAATTGAAAAAGTAAAATAAAATAATTTCCCCATCCCTAATACAAAAGAACTCAAAGCTAGAATGATTAATAAAACTACAATCATTGTATTTCCACATAGAAATGCTTGCCTACCTGATAATTCACAAAATGGGTATTCATGCACTATGGAAAGGCAATTTTAACAGTTCTCTGAAGGACCGGGGGAGGAAGCTCAGTCGTTTAAGTGCTCTCTACTTAAACGTGAAGACCTGAGTGTTACGAGATACTTGATTACACTGTGTAAAGATATGCCACTGTGATCGGTTAATAAAAAGCTAAACAGCCAATAGCTAGACAGGAGGTATAGGCAGGACTTCTGGACAGAGAGAGCTCTGGGAAGAAGAAAGGGGGACTCACCAGCCAGACACAGGGGGAGCAGAACATGCAGGAGGAGAGGTAAAGGCCATGAGCCACGTGGCAGCCCATAGATTAATACAAATGGATTAATTTAAGTTATAATACCTAATTAGAAACAAGCCTAAGGCTGAGCACAAGCTCTCACAATCAACAAGAAGTTTCTGTGCTGTTATTTGGGAGCTGGATGGTGGGACAGAGGAAGACCCTTTACACCGGAATTCCATCCCCAGCACCATGTGGAAAACTGGGCAGGGTGGAGCACAATTGTAATTGTGGTGCTGAGGAGGCAAAGACAGGAAAATTCCAGGGCTCATTGGCTGATTCCTAGGTCCCCATGAGTGAAACAAATAAACAAATACATAAAATCACTGAGTAGGCATATGTACAATGCAAAAACAATTCATGGATTCAAGAGTCACATTAAATCTATGCCCCAAACTATAGTGGTTTCATTTGCTGGGGGAAACTACAGCAGCAGCAGGATCAGGGAAGTGATGCATAGGTGTTTTGGACATGTTACACTGAACTGCCACACCACCACAAAGGCAGGTGGATGCTAGCAAGGGATTCATCAGAGAGCGGAGGATCGGGCATAAATCTGGGAGTTGTCAGCAAGCAGGTGATGTTACATCCATGACACTGGTGAACCACTCAGGAAATCAATCACCAGACTGCAAATTTCCACAGGATTTAGTAGAAAACAACAAAAAGAAATGAGTGATTTAACAAAAGGACAAACTAAGATGCATACATACATTTTCTCTTCTTGGAGGTGTAATAATAGCGTACCTGGTAAGTAACTTCGGCTCTCACTGACTCCATGAAGCTCTGCTCAGTTGGATAAAGGGCACAGGCAAACATAAAGTCCTGCCATACCTATCGATCAAAAGAACGGGCAGCGTCATCCCACAGAAAGCCTGACTTCATTCTCACCCAGGGGATTATCTTTCACATAAAGAAAAAGCAAGTTCTCCTGCAAATGTGCCCACCTGAGCGCCTCCTTACTTTCCAGCCTTGCACAAAAATGTTTAGAAACCAGAGAGAATGCTAAGTAAGCAGGACAGATGAGGAAGGAAGGGGGAGTCGGGAAAGGAAATAACAAGACAGCAGGGAAAATGAAGCCTTGGGCTCGTCCTCATCTCCCCACTCTTTCTCATGTCGCCAGGCATTGAGTGAGGAGAAACACACCAGACTGTTAAAATTAGAGTTGTCTAGAAAGGATGTTTGCAGATAAAAAGATTACTAGACGCCCACTTTAATAACGAGACCATGATGTCTTTTCCAAGGAGGCCTGGGTGGAGCGGCTGATCAAAGCACAGCCCCATGCAGCCCGCCTTCCTGCCTGTATTGATTCTAACGTATGCAAACAGTGAACCTTTGGGCAAGGTGTACACCCTCTTCGTGGGTCAGTTTTACAATCTGTAAATGGGGCAGGGAATAAGAGTAGCCATGTCGTGAAGGCATTTTAAAAAATAATGAACCAAATAAAAATGAGGAAAAACAGCATTGAGGGAAATGCCTGCCATTCACTGAACAGTGTAGCCTATCATTGTTGCTGCAAGTCTGTATCTCCTCTGGCACTCTGCATATCTGATAACCGCATTTCCAGCACTAAAAACATATACAATTGGCCTTCAATAACCATGAGTTTTGCATCCAAAGATTTAACTATGGGTCAAAAAATAAATAGTATCTGATTCCCTCATCTAGCCTCCAAGGACACCAAACATGCGCATGGCACACATACACACATAGGCACTCATATATACTGTGTGTGTGTGTGTGTGTGTGTGTGTGATGTATCATGCTATACAGATGGAAAGATGCACGTAGTTTTCTGTGAGCATTCCATTTCTTTATGTGAGAGGTTTGAGTATCTAGGAACGGCATGCCCACAGGGCTCCTGGCCAGTTCTTCAGAGACAATGAGGAGAGGAGGCATCTCCCTGCTTAGTCGTCCTCATAGCAAAACTTATATACTAAGGATTTTTGTTTGGTTAATTTTATTATTTTTATTCCTCTCCAGAGTTCATCAGAGCTCTTTACATTACTTGATATCTTATTTTATTATGTATACCTACATATTACAAGAAAAATTATGAAGGAAGTAGAGATGGACTTTTTCTTAGATGTAACATATATATATATATATATATATATATATATATATATATTAGCTATTATTTTTGAACAGTAGAAGATTCTGATATTTGTTAGCAAACTGTAGTTCATTTATCCCTTGTCCAAAATTAATAAATAAATAAACATGGATAATAAGGAATAAGGAACCCACAAATAAGGAACATGACTCCTTGCACTAAGCGGCAATAATATCAACTCACAATATCAGAGTGAGGGATCGATCAGTCTCCTATGGATGCATCAAGAAGGTATCACATACTCACCATTATTCCAAGCTCATTGCAGAGTTCATAGAATTCATCCTGCTCATAAACACCTCCTCCCCACACCCGCAGAGTGTTCATGTTGGCATCCACAACAGACTGCAAAAGGAGCTGCAGCCTGGAAGAGGGATTGCAAACACAAATACTCATTCAGGAAAGGGAGAACATTACAAAGTCTTTCACCTCTGATAAGGGGAAACGCCACTTGAAAATCAACATGATTTTTGCTCTAATCAATGCCAAAAAAAACTGAGGTAAAATTGTAACTCCATGAAAGCAAACAAACTGGAAGAAAAAAAAAAAAGCTATGCATGATTTCTTCATTATGTAAGTTGTTAGTAACCTTATACTATTTCTTAAATTATTTCTTTGCTTTATATTTTGACATGTGGAAAAATGCAGTGTGGGGCTGAGGCAATGGCTTAGAAGGCAAAGTACCTGCCCCGCAAGCATGTAGACCTGGATTTGCCCCCAAACATCATGTATGAAGCAGGCTGTGTAGGCACATGTCTGAAATCGTAGCCTGCCAGTAAGCTCCAGGTGCAGGGCAGACCCTGTCTCAAGTGAGGGATAGACCCTGTCTCAGTGAGGGACAGACCCTGTCTCAGGTGAGGGACAGACCCTGTCTCAGTGAGGGACAGACCCTGTCTCAGTGAGGGACAGACCCTGTCTCAGGTGAGGGACAGACCCTGTCTCAGTGAGGGACAGACCCTGTCTCAGGTGCAGAGACAGACCCTGTCTCAAAAAGCTGAATGGAAAGTGATGAGTAAGAGCCAACATCAACCCTAGCCCCCATTGTATGCAGTCACTGAATATGCACGCACACACAAGAAAAGGAGAGTATAAACACTCCATAGACATAAATGCATATTAATTTTAAGTTCTATTTTCAAAACCTTCAAAGAAACACTTGTTCCTTCAGATAAAGAATGTTCTTGTTTTTGGTTTCTTTTGTAGGTTTTATTGTGTATATATTTAAGGTATATGCCATGGTGCTGTAGGACTGCTGTTAATAGTAACAAGGTTACTACTACTGAAGTGAATTAACAGAGCCATCTTTTTTAATTAGCTATCTCCCTTTGGTTTTGTCCATAGGACATTTTGTTACACAGAATCCTCATGTCTTCCATTGCTCTTCTGGTCTCCAAACTTGTTCTGCGGACATCCGATTATTTTGTGTGCTCTTGCATTTTTATTTTTATATCCTCCCCTCCCTCCAATATTTTTTTAGTTCTTTGTTGAAGTAGAAAAGGGGCTGGTGAGATGGCTGAGTGGGTCACGTGTTTGCTACGCAAGCATAAGGACACAAATTCAAATTCTTAGAACCACACAAAGCTGGGTTCTATAGCACACAGCTGTAACTCCAGGGCTCCTACAGCGAGATGGGAGGTGGAAACAGAACCCCCAGAAGCTCTTGGACCAGACAGCCTGTCACACATAGTGGTGAACAATGTAGGTACCTTAGCTCAATCAAGATGGGGATTGACACCCAAGGTTGTCCTCTGTGTTGGATAGTTTTGTGTCAACCTAACCCAAGCCAAGTTATCAGAGAGGAGGGAGCCTCAACTAAGAAAATGCCTCCGTAAGATGAGAGGCTGTAGGGCATTTTCTTAATTAGTGATCCATGGGGGAGGCCCCAAACCATGGTAGATGATACCACCCCTGGGCTGGTGGTCCTGGGTTGCTATAAGAAAGTGGCTTACCAGCCATAGAGAGTAAGCCAGTAAGCAGCACCCCTCCATGGCCTCTGCATCTGCTCCTGCCTCCAGGTTCCTGCCCTGCTTGAGTTCTTGTGCTGACTTCCTTCAGCAATAGAAAGTGATGTGGAACTAACTATAAGCCAAACAAACTCTTCCCTCTCCATACTGTTCTTGGTCATGGTGTTTTACCACAGCAATAGAAAGCCTGACTAAGACTGTCTCTCACTTCCGCAGACATGTGGCATGAATGTGAGCCTACGCATGTGCATGAACACACACACACCATACACACACACACACACACACACACACACACACACACACACACACACGCACACCATACACACAAAAGATTTTTTTAAGTAAAATAATATCTTAGCATAATAAAGTAAATGTAGGTATATATACTTTAAAACCATGTTCAAAATTATTCAATGTATTCTTTGAAGAACAAGCTGGATTTAAATTTTTTGAGACTAATTAGTTCAATTATCAATTTGTCACTTTCTTTCTCCAGAGAAAACATACAATAGTTTCGTAAAAAAGTGAATGGTATTTTTTGTTTATTTGTTTGTTTGTTTGTTTGTTTTCAAGACAGGGTTTCTCTGTGTAGCTCTGTAGACCAGGCTTGCCTTGAACTCACAGAGATCCACCTGCCTCTGCCTCCCAAGTGCTAGCATTAGAGGCGTGTGCCATTATCCCCCAGCTGAATAGTCCATCTTTAACAGTCTCAAACTAGCTAGCTAAGAGACTGTATCTCAAGAGGGAGAATGAGTGACTGAAAACAGTCTTGACTACCCTGAAATTTCTGTCACCCTGACATTCTGCACTAGCCTTGGGTCCTTCTGCTGGGAGTGACAGAAGCAGATGTGCGTAACTTTGAACTTTAAGCTTGGTGGCATTGCAGAGAGGTGCGGGAGGGTCAGGAAAAGATGCTGGCACTCACAGTTCTGGGGTGACTTTCTCTTGGAATGAGTCAGCTGGGATCCAGTTTGAGCCTTTCAGAAATATAGGAAGTCCATTAATTTTGAAGTAGAAACTCAGGCCAGGAGAATCTTTTATGGGCTCTTCTACAAGTTGCACTGTTCTGAAATAAACCTGCCACGAAAAGAAATAAATATTGAATGTAAACTTAAAAGTGTAAGCAACTGGGTCTTTAAAAAGGAAAGTGGCTGGGCGGTGGCAGCGCACGCCTTTGGTCTCAACACTCTAGAGGCAGAGGCAGGTGGATCCCCGTGAGTTTGAGGCCAGCCTGCTCTACAGAGTGAGTTCCAAGATGGCCAGGGCTGTTACACAGAGAAGGCCTAGCTCTACAAACCAAAAAAGAAATAAAATGGAAAGTAGGGGTTGGGAAAATGGCCCATAAGCATGAGGACCTGAGTTCAGATCCCAAGCATCCAGCTAAACATGACCACACCCTCTTATAGTCCCCACCTATTGCCAAAGGAAAAATCTAGGCAGCATTTGCCTCCCTCCCTCTCATTACCTGGAAAGACAGTGGAACTTTCCAAAGACATGTGATATATGATGACATCATCAACTACAATAGATGAGGTCAGCATTTTCTGGATGATCTACTTCTAAGGTAGCGGTTGGAAGAATAAAGAAGTATTTTGTGTCATTGTTAGTGACAAATCATGGTTGGTTGGTTGGTTGGTTGGTTGGTTGGTTGGTTGGTTGGTTGGTTGGTTGGTTGTTCGAGATAGGGTCTCATTATGCAGCTCTGGATGGCCTGGAACTCACTTTTGTAGACCAAGCTAGCCTCAAACTCACAGAGAATCACCAACCTCTTCCTTATGAGTACTAGGAGTAAAGGCATTCTCCACCACTTCTTGCTGAAAAAGTGGGGTTTTTAAATAGAATAACTTAGGCATACTGGGGGCATACACCTTAATCCTTGTACTCTGGAGATAGAGGCAGACTGATCTCTGTGTGTTTGAGGCTAGCCAGAGCTACACAGTGAAAACTTATTCCACAGAGAAATAAAAACTAAAAGAGATTAACTTACAGACTGGGAGTGGTACTATACACTATAATCCCAGCATTCAGAAGGTAGTGACAGGAGGAAAGAGAGTTCAAGACCAGTCTGGGATATACAGTGAGGCCCTGTGTCAAAAAAAAAAAAAAAAAGCAGAGACTCAGTTTGTTCTCTACAGTTTCCTGAAGACTAGCTATCACTGCCATCTGCTCTTAACTCAGCAACCTACACAAGAACAGAAATCTAAACTGTGTTCTTTTGATTCACAGTGATATCTGATATTTTAAATTTGAATTCATTTTTAATTATAATCAAAACTCCTTTTAGAGTTAAATAATATTTTATCTCATTGTAAAAGGACATTTATAAAATGTCTTCCCACTCCAAGGGTGAGTTGCAAGTGTGATTGGAAAACTTAAATTCTCAGGCTCTGGACATGGCTCCACTCAAGAGTCCGCCTGCCTAGCATGCAGGAAGCCCTGGGCTGGATCGCCATGTCTCATAAAGCTAGGTGTGGTGGCACACAACTGTAATTCTGTAACTCAGGAGCCCCAGGCAGTGGGAACAGATGTTAAAGGCCATCCTTCCCTATGTACCAAGTTTGAAACCAGAGAGTCCTACAGGCAACCGTTCTAAAGAAAAGAGCACTTCAATTCTCAGTCTACAGCTGCATAGCCTACACCTAAAAATGTTGAAACTTGAAACTGACGGATAAGAGAAACTGGGTGTAACTATAAATAAGAAATGGAATTTTGATGAAAGGCATCCTTGACTTTTCAGAAGTCAATAATTTATTATACCTAATGCAAATGTAACATCTTTAAAACATATTTATGGGGTATTCCTCCTGCGGGTGTTCTTTCTCAGTTTTCCTTTATAAATCTACTTTCAGTGTAAATAAGTAAGTAGATAGACATGTAGGTAGATATAGATAGATAGATAGGCAGACAGACAGATAGAGATAGATAGATAGATAGACAGATAGAGATAGATTGATGATAGATAGATATAGATAGATAGACAGACAGACAGATAGTGGTAGATAGATAGATAGATAGATAGATAGATAGATAGATAGATAGATAGATAGACATATATGTTTATGAGGGCTGGGAAATGGCTTAATGGGTTACATGCTTGCCACACCATCATGAAGATGAACTTGGGTGCCCAGCATCTATGTAAAGAAAATAAGTATGGCATGTAATCCCAGCATGTGTCTATAATCTCAGCATTAGGAAAGTAGAGAAAGGAAAATCCTTGGGGCTGGCTGGCCAGCTAGTTTTGCCAAATAATTGAGCTATAGGTTCAGTGAGGGACTGCCTGCCAAATCATTGAGCTCTAGGTTTAATGAGAGATTTTGTCTGAAAGAGATCAATAGAGCAAGACTTCACACATACACCACACAGCCACAAAAAATATTATGATATAGTTGTGTCATTCTATAGCCAGTTATTCATGGTATAAAGAAAAAGAAATCAAATACTTTAAACACAGACATAGTAAGCCCTTTGAAAGTCAAAGATTGATTAAACTTTACAACCCAGAAAGCAAGAATGCATCAAAGTTTTCACAGGGTGAACATGCTACACTGGCTGTAGAAGTGTATTAGCTGAGAAACAAGCGAGCAGTAGGTATTGCTGTATGTCTATAGGAGGAAACAATAGGGAACGGAATTTCACCACCAGCCTCTTGGCAATACACAGCAGCCAAGCTAATTAAAAGATTTAGGTGCTAGAGACAGAAAGGGGTGATAGGCAATCTGAAGGTACTTTGTTTTATAAATAGGTGACACTCTGAGCATTGATAGGCCTGTTATTTTATTAAATCCCTTTGTTATCAGCTTAACACATCAAGGACAATCTACTATGGAATTTTTTTGACACCAAAATATAGGAAGTATTGAATTATTTGAAGCACAAGATGATTTTTGATCCTCAGGGTAACCATGTAAATTCTGTGCCAATATCAGCACAGATATTACAATAACAGAGGTAGGTGACATGACAACCGCCTTAGGAGGAATCATGGCAGCATCTCCACACTGCCCTGGGAGTCACTGCTTTCTTCACCTTCACCCATTAACAAGAAAAGAAATGATAATCTCACGTGAGAAAATCCTTGGCAAAATAGAGAATATATTAATTTTCATAAACCCCTGTGATTATGGGAATGTCTTATATACATATGTTTCTCTTGTTGGTTAATGAAAAAACACTGATTGGCTGATTGACCAGACAGGAAGTGACAAAGCCGGGCAGAATCAGAATATAGGCAGGGACAAACAGGAAATCTCTCTCTTCTCTGTGAAGATGCTGAGCAGTCATAGCAGGCAAAGGAGTTGCAGATCTGGTATTTCCCCAGTAAGATAAGACCATGTGGAAATACATAGATTAGTAGTTGTGGGTTAATAATTAAGACAGAGCTAGCCAGTAAGACACATTAGTCAACGGCCAACAGCTTTATAACTAATATAGCATCCATGTGCTTCTTTGGGGCTGAGAAGGGCAGCAGGACCTGCCAAGCTATAGATATTCATCTTACACCCTTGTGGTGGTTTGAATGAGAATAGTCCCCATAGGCTCATGTTTTTGAAGGCTTAGTCCCTAGTTGGTGAAAATGTTTGGGAAAGATTGTGAGGTATGGCCTTGTTGGAGGAGGTATGTCACCAGGGGTGAGCTTTGAGATTTCAAAAGTCCACACCAGGTCCAGTTTCTCTCCCTTGTGTCTATGATGGGAGATATATGTTTCTCTTATTGGTTAATGAATAAAGCACTGTTGGCCAATAGGGAAGCAAGATAGGTAGAAGTGGGAGAGGTGGAGGATTCTGGGAAATGTAGGTTGGAGTCTCAATGTAATTTCGGGAAGGGAGGACATGTGAGTCTGTCATTCTTGGTAAGATAAGACCATGTAGAAGTACATATATTAGTAATTATGGGTCAATAATTTAGACAGAACTAGCCAATAAGAAATGCTAGTAACTAGCCAACAGTTTCATAATTAATACAGTGTCTCTGTGTGTTATTTGGAGCTGACGCAGCTGTGGGGCCAGGCTGGCGGGAAAGTGCTCATAACACCTCTAATTTTCAGATAATTTATGAGTTCACTGGTACTGCTCCAGTGCTGTGACAGCCTGCATGCTGTCCCCAACCACGATGCTCATGGACTAACCTTTGAAACAGTAAACAAGTCCCATTAAATGCTTTCTTTTATAAATTGCATTGTCATGTCTTTTCCCGGCAATAGAAAAGTAACTGAGACAACACCCCAGGCTGAGTACATATCATTTTAATATTAGTGAAACAAAATGGAAAGCACACATAGAGCACCATGTTGACAATGTTCTAAGGAAGGAGGCGCAGCTAAGTAACCACCATTTGAGCAGGAGAGCAGAGTCAGCCATCTTTCTCAGAAGTGCTGTTTATTTAAATGAACACTTGACCAATGACCAGCTACTCGGACTTGAGGACATTTTCTTGAAAGTGAATGAAGTATGCACTGACAGTATCTAAAGTCAATAATAAAATTCAGGAAAAATAAAAACAAGGCTTAAGAAAACTTGTGCCTACCACACGGAACTTGAGAGCACCCAGGACTTAACCGACATCTCAGATGATGTCAGTGGAAACACTAGGAATGTGAGTGTGGTACCACAGCTGGAAATGTGTCAACATCAGGAAGATCTATAACCCTCAAGAAAGCAGTATTTTTCAAATAGCCCATGCACGTATTCAGTGGCACACATGGAAGACTCCAGTGTAAACCAAGGGCAGGCTTCTAAAGAGTGCACTGAAGTGCCTTGAATTCACAGGCCAACTAACTTTAAGAAACTAACTCTTGTTGGTTTCCCTTTTTAACTACCTGCCTTCTAAATTTTTAATTATATGTGTGGAATGTGTCTACAGGCAGCGGGGTATCTGGAAATGAGTACAAGTGCCCAAAGAGGCCAGATGAGATCATCAGATCCCCTGGAGCCAAACCAGGGTCTCATCTCCCATCCTCAGAAACCAGCATGCATGAAACCTTAGTGTAATGTGAAGACCATCTACAATAATCTGAAAAGACTATCAACATCCTCCCTCCCTTTCCAGAAGAATATGAATGATATACGATACATACT